CTTTCCCGGTGGTTGAGAACTTTTTTACTTTGCCCACAGTATTGTACGCATTTTTCTGATAATTTCCATATTTTTTCAGCCGTATAGCTCAAAAACCCGATTTCAGGGCTATTTTGACTGGACTATATTCGAGTTTTTCATTTCAGATAATCCGATGTCAAGATTTTTACAATACCGCAAAGGCTAGACTATTTTTAGGCGTTCAGTTCAAGGGCCTTTCCAATGTATATAGAGCGTATAAAATAAATAAAAAAAAATTTTAATGTACTTTAAGAGTATATTTATTAAGCACAACAAACCCTACATCAATATCTTTCTTAGTTTTCCAATAAAAAATTGACAAAAATACCTATTTTTTCGAGCGACTAAAGTAGAATCCTGCCTTAAGAACAGAACGTATGCGTTACGAACAGTGAGTCTTACTTGATTTCACATGTTTTTATACCTGAATTAGTTACACCCCTTTGGAAAGGGAAGGGGTTGAATGCAATTGATTAACCAATAGTAGGAGGGTTAACCTACCAGGATCTCCCGAAGGAAAATCTTATGTTTTGGGAAAGGGAAACAATGCATAGAGAAACGTGATCTAGGATGTTATTTCCTTTTATGATATCGTACGTGCTTAGATATGAATCAGAAACCTTCAAAGGGCCCGACACGATTTAACGGGTTTTTATCGCACCATATGTTTCTTTGATTATTGAGATAGTTTGGGAATTTATGGCCTTTTGGAATTTCTTAATGTCTTAGGTAAACAGTACCTTATACCTGCTACCTATCGTATTTTATGATATTTGCTACCATAAATTTATGGTATGGTTTCTTCAAAGGAAATTGAATATATAAGAAAAAATAACTAAATATAAGTTATCGTCTACCAATGATTTGGTACCGAACACATAATTTATCATAGACTGCAGGATTTTTAATTCGAATCATAAAAGACACTCATATACTCACTACTCAATAGTATAACAGCGTTGTTTTGCATTCTTGAGCTTAGCAACTTGAAAGCAAGCGCGAAAAGCTTGTTTTTGAGCTTCTGGTAAATCAACTATTTCTTCTTCAATAATATTATCTTTCTTCGTAGCACATTGATTTCTTAATTCTTCTACTTGTTCTTTTAACTGTTGCCTCTATATTATAAGAGATTGTTAAAATTTGATTACATTACTCAAACTTTTATTACCTTTTGATACAGACGACGTAAACGTTTTTGTTTCGCATGAAGTTTACGTTTAATTGTGATATAACGATTATTTACATCTTCTTTCTTTTTTCTTGAAGATATTAATAACCTATTCCGTAATGTACGACAAGCCAAGCATCTAATTTCTCTTCTAAATCGTTTATATTTTTGATCAGATTGTAAAATGCCTTCACATGCGGTTGAGCATCTATTAAAAAAATAGTAAAACATTAAAGCTTAACCCTTTCGCTACGGGCGGTGACTATTGTCACCAAATGCCTGACGTTCGCTACGTACGGGCGGTGACTATAGTCACCAAACGGCTGACGTTCGCTAAGTACGGGTGCGTTTGCACGAGTATGTAATTCTTATATGTTAATTTCCATGGTAACCCATCGCAATTGTTAAGCATTTGTTTTACACTCTGAGATTTTTAACTGGCAATATGAACATCAGTATAAAAGAATCGTTTCGGCAGTACGCTTGCTTGAATTGGCTCACTCGTTTGAAACATTTTCACAGTAAGTATGAGTTTTTATTTTTTTTTTATTTTTCGCATTATTGCATTTTGTTTTTAATTTTTTGTTTCTTTTTTATACCTTAAAGATAATGAATTTAAATTTGCTAAGAAGAAGGGAAAACGAAAATGAGGGCTATGCCACCCATGATAATTCATCGGACTCCGATAGTGATATTGAGATAAATAATAATTGTGCCAGAAGAAAGGTAATGAGCATTCCCAATATAAATGTACTTAGTACCTCCGAATCAGAAGAAGATTATGTCGTCGATGCTTTACCTCCATCGAGTTCTAATAACATGCAATGGACTATTGAGAATGTTGACTTAAAATTTCACGAATTTAATGCCTCCAATGCCGGACTCTTGAGAGATGACATCAAATTCTCCTCTTCAGTATTAGATTATTTCGAAATATTTTTTTCATCTGAACTGGTGAACTTCATAGTAGATAAGACAAATAACTACTGGGCACATACAGTAAATGATAATATATCTAATCACAACATTGGGACAACTGTTAATGAATTATACTCTTTCCTCGCATGCACGTTGCTTATGTCGCGAAACAAAAAATTACGACTTAGCGAGTATTGGTCGCGGGACAGACTTTTAAAATCAGATACTTTTACCGATATTATGTCTAGATATAGGTATTTAACAATATTGCAAAAGTTACATTTTGTAAATCATAATGAAAAATCTTCTGACCGTTTACATAAAATCAGCAGTGTTTACAATAAACTTCAAAAGTCATTTAAAGATTCATTTTCTCCATTTCAAAACTTATGTATAGATGAAAGTCTGTTATTATTCAAGGGTAGACTCTCATTTAAGCAATACATATCATCTAAAAGAAGCTGATTTGGCATTAAAACATACACACTATGCGACTGCAAAACAGGCTACGTACTGGATGTAAATATATATGCAGGTAGTGAAACATGCATAACAGAGGACACATCAGAAATTGGCAAAACTGGAAACATCGTTCTGATGCTTTTAAAGCCTTATTTGGGAAAAGGCCACACGTTGTATGTGGACAATTTTTACAGCAACCCTGCATTTTTTAATTTATTGCATATAAATGCAACAAATGCGTGCGGCACTGTGAAACAAAGGCGTAAAAGAATGCCTGTATTGAATAAAAAATTAAACATAGGCGAGGTTGAGTTTCGAACAACTGATAATTTGCTGGCTATTAAATGGCGTGATAAAAAAGACGTTTTCATGTTATCCACTTTCCACACTAATGAATTAATAAGTACAGGAAAGAGAAATTATAAAACTGACGAATTTATACGCAAACCAAAATGTATAGTGGATTATAATTTTTAAATGGGTGCTGTCGACAAATGTCTTGTTTTGTTAACAATTGATTGTTAGTTCCATTCAATCCGTTAGAAAATCATTGAAGTGGTATAAAAAGTACTTTTTTCTAACTCCTTTCTAAATCCACTAAATAGTGGATATTGCCGTGTGGAATGCACATTGTTTGTATAAATACAAAACGCACAAAAATATTTCTATTGCTGCGTTTCACCTCAAATTGATCCGACAAATTTTAGAAAAATATCATAAAGAGAATTTGAGGCAAAGCGGCCAGAGATCTGAAGATAAATATCCCTTTAGACTGATTGATAGACACTTCCCAGCGATTTATACTAGTAAGAAAACTACACGAAAAGCGCATTAAGAAAGTGTATTGTATGTTCTTAAAATGGTGTGCAAAGACAAAGTCATTACCAATGTAAAATATGCGACGTTGGACTTTGTGTATGCCCGTGTTTCGAAACGTTTCATACAAAATTACATTATTAACATATTAATTACATTATTATTGTGGGGTGTGTTGAAAATCGAAGAGGTTGTGTGTGTAAATCTGTGTGAGTCCAAAGGTCCGAGAGGTTGTGTGTGTAGGTCGGTGTGGGTCCAAAGGTTCGACATGTTGTGTGTGTTAGTCGGTGTGGGTCCAAAGGTCCGGGTGCGTTTGGAACATGCGGGGTGGGGGAGAAACCTCATAAGGAGAGGACGGTCACGCATCAGGGGTTGTTGTTTTTTTTTCCGAGAGAGTAGCGTGGAGAGAACCGAGTGACGAGAGCGAGTGAGAATAGTGAGTAGAGAATAGCGAGTGAGTAGTGATTCTGTGAGGTCTGAGTGAGTGCGAAAAGTTGCGAAGCGTTATTGTAATTGTTATTGTAAGGGTAATTGTAATTGTAATAAGCAATAATTTGTGAGAATAAAGAGTATCTTTTATATCTCAAGTAGTGTCGGCAACACGGGGGAATTAGATATCCTTAGCCGGATACAGAACAATTGATTTCCCTACATTATTATATTTTTTGTTCGCATTATGTGATAATTGAAAACAATATATTATGTGATAATTTGTTATTTAATAATTTGGTAACCCTTTCCTTTCAACGAACGACTACAGTCACTCCGAATAAGATGCAGCGATTCTGAACGTTCGGCAGGCGACTTTAATTCTTTCGCAAATGCACACTTGTGCCGCAGCGGCCCGTCCCGCGGAAGTAGCGAGCCGTAGAATTCGTCCGTAGCGAAAGGGTTAATATATTAATTTTTTCAGTTGTAACTTACAACTTGTAAGTGACAAAAATGACGACAATAAGATACGTTTAAGATTAGTTTTTTTTATAAGAACTTGGTGTATTTGAAATTATTAATTTTAAAAGTAAAAAGAAGTAAAAGAGACAAACCTTTCGTCAACTCCAGTGCCACTACAGAACTGAGAAATTTCTATTTCTCGTAACATATTCCAAAATGATGCTGCCGATATTATTGAATAATTAAAATTAATAGAAACTCCCGTTGCCAAGATAGTTACCTATAAAAAAAACAATTTAAATAGCGACAAATGAAATCATAGCTTGTGGTCAAACACATACTTAGAATTAACTTGAAATACCTGTACTGACAAATCATCATCAATTTTGATTGATAATTTTAGTTTCTCCAAATAATCGTCAACGTAATATAAAATTACATCTGGCTTTGATTCCGATTGTTTTGGCCAACACCAATTTTGGGGCACTCCATGGTCTTTCAATAGTTGCAATATCCCAGCTAGTGAAAATGGTGCAGAATTGTCATGATTTGGCAAAATAAAATTATTTTCAATCGATATTTTCTCTTCGAATTCTTCACTCAAATTTTCTGTAGAGTGAGCATCATTACTTAATTCATCCACCAACGCAGAGCTGGCAAATTTTTGATCTAACTCGGACAAATCGCTTCCATTTCTTGTTTCGTGCAAATACTCTTCATCAGTACAGTGATTATTGGTATCAAAATGATTTGATGAAGTTGTATCACCATTAGTGACAACATCTGACAGTATTGGAATTGCATCCTTTTTTAAAGCAAATCTAGATCTTGAAAGTTCAAAAACTTCGCCATTTTGCAACTTTATTTTTTCATAATTTTTAAGAATATTGTCACTATTAAAATGCAACTCGCAGATAAAATGATTGTGACAAAGTTGTTGAGATATTGCTGAGCTCCAAAGTTTTAACATTTCGGGGTCCTAGTTTGCATAAAACAATAAAAATTATTGTAATTATTAATTAATGTATATATCAACGTTGAAATTTACTAATCACATCGAAATAATTCAATTATTTTCATTCAAATTGATATTATACTATACGTAATATTAAGCTGCTACAAATTTTCATTTTTGTTATACAAATAATTTTTTTTTAACTGATAATATATTGTTCATAGGCTACCTTAAATATCATAAGTAATTACTTTACTTTTTTATAAACTTTTTAATAAGCATTGTTTATTCATATACATTTTATTATATATTATTTATTTCATATGGCAATTTTATACGTCGATTTTCAAATACTCGTCAAGTTTGTATTAAGATAATATACTACAGTCATTATATTAAAAGAGCATTAAATGAAGATCAATTGAATCATATTTTGTAATCAATTTTATTTATTAAGAATAATTTAAATTTACTGAGATGTTGAGTTATCTTACCTTTGGTACTTTAAATAAAGCTGTTTGTCGTAGATTTAACTTCGATTTTAATTTCCTTTCAACTGAAGAGCCACTAAAACAATTTTTTATAGCACACTTTTTCACCATCTTTAACAATACTATTTTTATTTTTTTTTAAATGTAAAAAAGTTGAACTCAGTTAAAAAATATTTATCCACATATATGTTTAAAAATACGCAATGCTCAACAGTTTTCTGTAACGTCACTAAGATCGAAGTGATCACCATGCCGCCCTAGTGGCAGGAATAAATATTGTTATTTTGTAACTTTTTTAGGGGACACAATTTATGACAAATTGCGATAGTTCTCCTTCTTATCTAAGTTTCGTGAGATGGAGATACTTCGTGGTCTCCAGGATATGGAGGGTAGAGGTGAGAAAAAAGTGTACGTCGAAATATATTAAATTAGGGTGGCGCCACATTAGCATCAGGTTAAATTTTAAAGGAAGCGCCAAATATTATTAGAGTAGGATTGAGAAATAAACAAGGAACACAAATTTTACCCATAACTGTTTTGTTATTCACATACTTTTTCATAAAATTAAATGATAAAAAATCCATAAAAGTACTATTCACAGTTCACGAAATAAAATCACTCTAGCTACACGTTTTCTCCTAATAATTCTTTAAGGTTATATAAAGGGTATGATTCATATCATACCCTTTGTCAACACCAGCGCCATTCTGAAAGGTTTTTGAACTGTTATTTATAGCATACGCTGGACACTTTTTCAAATTTTCTCCTATATGAGATGATACTCCTTACCTCTACCCTCCATACTCCAGGGTTACTTAACCCCTTAAATATTTCTTTTATTAGATAGCTAATTTTATTGAAAATTATTAGTTCTGTAATTCGTGAGTGATGCCACGATTACAGCGCCACGTTTTCACTTCATGGAAACGCGACAATTCGAATTGATTAAAACGCATCCTAGTGTTACCAATAGAAAGCTTTAATAATCAGTCCTACACGAGGTATTTCTTGAAAAAATCATAGGTCAATTCTTGTTTACAAAAGAAGTTGACAACTGAATCAAAATAATACAAACTTTTTACGTAACAGACACATATAATATTAAAGAAAAAAAACATTTAATCATATTCATAATAATATTTTATTTGTGATATAAGTATAAATGATCAAAGTTTTGTAAAAAATATTGACAAGCAATGTGACCAGCTGATAGCGCGCGCGTGTGTATGTTTGTATGCGTGGGTGTGTGCGTGCGTGCACGCGTCATGTGTGTATGATTATTCTCTATATAATACAAATGTATTACAATATCGTCATGATATTATCCATAACCTAACCTTACAAGGTGAGCTTGATGCAAGCAATAGCGTATCAGTATTTTTATTTTAAAATAGAAAATAAATTCATACAAACGATGAGAGATGCGCACCAAGGGACTGTTATTATTGCTAATCTGCATAGCAGGAAGCAGCATCGTTTTTATCGCTTTAAGCAATCAACGACCTTCCATACAAACACTTGTCACAGAAACTCACAAACAATTACGAAATTTTCAGGTATATATCATGGTTTACTTATTTATTGTTAATCCTAATTCTACATAATATATTTATTTTTTTTTTCATTTTTTGGTTAGAATATTATAATAATGAGGGGGTGGGGGTATTAAAATTACAGGAAAACTTAAAAGATGTTGAGGAAAAACGATTAGTGACAGATTCCAAGTATTTAGCTTTGCTTGGTCTTGATGGTCAAACTAGTACAACGCCTCTAAGTCTGAAGCCTCAAAATGTGACAGTAGTGACACTTATAAGGCCAGGAAGCGAACAACATGCCTATGGCTTTGTTAGAAATGTCAGTCACTTCTTGCCAAATAATAGTATTGTACTTTATAGCGTTGGTTTGAACGATGAGTCTTTCCAAAGTATCAAGACTACTTGTAACTCTACGAAGTGTAATGTCATTCACTTTGATTTGACTCCATTTCCAGCTCATGTAGAAGATGATAGACTACACGTTTACAGACCTCTAGTTATACAAGTAATTGATTTTTTATACATATACACGTATAGCGAGTCAAAGGAGTATTTACGTCGTAGTAATTACCAATTTTCAACTATTAATATTCGTTTAGAATACAATTTTTAAAATTTTTACAGCGATTCGATTTAATATTTGAACATCATGGCTTTTTAAATATGATTACTTCTACATTTGTTTAAGGTTAAGGTAATGAATTCTTCTTTTTTTTTTACCAAATAGTACACTTTATCTAATTGACAGAAATATAGGTTTTTTGTTCACTTCAACATTTCTTTTAAAATACAACCATAAACCATCTTAGATTTTTCACCATGTTTTGTAGTTGGTCTTAGATTTTTAAGTCCTAATTCTTCGTTTACTTTACGTAATACTATATTGTGTGTTAATTACTTCTAAAAATATTAAATTTATAATTTGTTTTCTATTCTTTATGGAAAATAACAAGTTAGCGTATATCGAACCAAATATGTTTGCCTTTTGTCCTATTTTTCTTAATAATATAAAAAATATCTGTAAACTTTCAATCTAAATTGATTCATGATCCTATATTAAGTGTTTTAATAGCTATGTTTGCTAATAAAATTTCGGAACAATCTAATTTTTTAAAATGAACAAATTGCAAAAGAATAAAGTGTATACAAATATTTTTGAGATACTAAAAATAAGCGTTATTTTGTTTATATTATGTTATAGAGTTAATTATGTTAATTAAATAAATAAAATCTATGTGTTTGAAAATGAAATAAGTGTACTACTTGATAAAATAAAAACAAGAATTCCTTAACTTATCTCTGAGTAAATGTACAGGATAATTAAATTTAAAAAGCCATGGTGTTTAAATATTTCATCGAATCATTCTATAAACAGGAATGAATGTTGAGATTAGTAAACTTTTGAACTAATATAAACTTTATTACAAAAGTATACTTCCACAAATGATAAAAATATAACAAAATTGGTATCGCAAGAATATATATTCATATTTAGAGAAATTATATTAAAAATACGAATAATAATTCTATAGTTAATATTTTATTAGTCCTCCCTTTTGATTTTTTAATTCTTTTGAGACCTTTGGGGCATATTATAGACAAATCCTTTTGTACATTTTGATTTAATATTGTTCCAAATATCAATAAGTTTTTGTTTTAATATTTCTTTATTTGTAATATTTAAATTTCTTAATATTTTTTTCCATTTTTACCTACACGTGTTCTATGGGATTTATATATCCAGATTTTGAGATAGAATTGCGAAGATACGTAGTGAATTATACAGAACCCATTTGCTTTACAATATTAGTTGTGTGCATTGGAACATTATCATTTTGGAAATAGTAATGGTTTCCCAATTGCACTAAATGACAAATGATTTTGTAAAATATTTAAGTAATGAATCTTGTCCATAATACTATTTATAAAAACTGTATTATTAACTATCATTTGTAGACATACAACTCGGAACCTCTTTAGTATTCGAATCTTTTTTCAAATTTTTAAATTCACCTTCGATGTTTGACTATTGTAGTTCGTTCATTCTGAGTTATAAACTTACTTTCATCTGAAAATTTTACTCATACCTAGAAAATAATATCCTTGTTAATATATTGCTTTGCAAATTCTAATTGCTTCTTCCTATTTTTTGTTTTTATTAATAAATATTTTTTTTTCTCATTGAAACCTTCTTCTTTGAAGAACCAACCAACTTTGAATCAATTATTAATAAATTCTTTTTTATTTCTTTAAAAATTACTCTCTTTCCTCTTGAATAGTTAACTTTCTTGAACCTCCTTTTGCATTACTTATTGACTATATTTCCAGTTGAATTGATATTTTTTAATTACACTTTGTAGCATTGATTTACTTCTATCTACTAATTTTATAATTTGCAGATAACTTATACTTTCAATATATATATATGCCATTTATGAATAATTATCTTTTATTTAGTGGAACGTCATTACCTTTTCGACTCGTGTTGACAAGTAACTGATTATGGCAATGCGATAATGCGCACTAATGTAAGGTGACCAACGTTGGACAAGATTTCAACTCAAGACGGATTAAATTTAGAAATATTTTTATTTTACACGTGAAGAATTCCTATGGTATGAATACTCATATGATACCAATTTTGTTACTATTTACATAACATTATGTTTATGTCAAATGGAAATGTTCTTTTCTAACGAAATTTATATGAGTTTGAAAGTTTAGTGTAATACCAACATTCTCATTTCCATTTATAAGAAATTCAAAATTTGCATTCTCTAAATAAATATCATTTATTTAAAGTTGACGATAAGTGAGGAAGTACGAATACTCATGTGACTCACTATATATTTTTCTTTATTATTAGATTAACAGGTGCTCTAAATTATGTTTCATATTACAGACAGCTCTAAATACATTAGGTAGTATTCTATTCATGGATTCAAATGTTCGGTTAAATTCGTCCGACGTTTCAAAATACCTCTTTCCAAAATCGGGAGTATTGACCTGGCCTACGAGGCATGCCATTAGTTCTTTAACTCATCCAAAGATGTATGAGTATTTCCACGCATCAGCAGAAAGTTTCTTTTTTCTTCCTCTTATAAGAGCATCACATATAGTAATTAGAAACACAAAAGATATTAGAGAAAAGGTAATGCTACCTTGGGTACAATGCGCGCTAACAAGAGATTGTATTTGTCCTATAGGTTTGTAATTATATATCGTTAATGTTATATTATTATTATTACTAATAATTCTAGGTAATAACAATGAATTTTTTAGGCGCCCAATCTGCAGGTTGTCGATTTAATAAAAGACCACAATACCGTTATTCCGGTTGTCATGCATATGATACCTCTGCGCTTAATATCGTTCTTGGATTACATTTTAATTTTGATGATACTTCTTACACCCATCAGGAACGGGAAACTTATTTCAACAAGATACAATCCGAGGAGATAATGGAAGAATATGCTATTATCGCAAAGCAAAACAATGTTACGGAATCTAATTCTAAAAGCTTTGCGTCAACCGACCATTGATATTTTGGCGCGATCTCAGTTTATATTTTAGATTAATAATATTTATATTAATCGCTGATCAAGCACAACTTTATTTAAGAATATATAAGACAAAATTTGTTGTTTTAAACAAGAAGGTACAGACTTTTTCATCAATTTTGTGAATAACTAGTATCATATAATTGGAATGGCTTTCTTCTTTGTCTCTCTCTCTTTTTATCTTTCTCTCTTTCTCTCTTTCTATACCGCCTTTTTTGAATAGCTGCTTTACCGTAAAATTAAATATTCAAATAATTTACATAGAAAACATTAAAATATAATTATTTAAACATGCAGACACACACATCTCAATATCATATAAAACAATATATTTAATAATATATATCAGTCTATAATATTATATTACTATGAAAATGTAGAAAAGGCTGTTGAAGAAGACAAGTCGTTCGCCTTCAGTATTAATTCTCTTTACAGAATTAATGAAAACGACTGTACAGTACTTATTTAATTATTAATGTATTGGCACGCGATGATCTGTGAAGTTAAATCTATAATAAATGCTAAATAATCATTAATGTTGATTAATGTAGACAACATTATTTTCTTTAACGAAGTATAGATGTGAGTAATATTAATTTATTATAATTTAATCTAATTTAGAAAAGAAAATATATAAAGTAGAAAATTATTCAATTTATAAATAAAAAAAATGATACTTACTTTATAACTGCTATCAAAAGAAAATAATTCAAATCGATAATATAGAGACGTATTGTACAATGCTGTTAAAAAAAGAGTACAATATTTTAATAGCTTATAGTACTTATTGATAAGAGTAAAAAATGACTAATTAACATGATTTCTAAAGTTAATTTTGTCAACATAAATTGATTTTTATTATTTATGAGAATTCGATATTATAAGTGAGTATTTTGACCACATTATTGAATATACTCAGAGAAATTTGCTTAGAAATACATTAGTTCAAGATTATTTAAGATAAGTTTATTTTGAAAATAACAAAAAACTATTACTACTTATATTATTAATACGTTGTGTGCCACGTGTATCACCGGTGGTACATGTTAAACTTGTTCTTCAGGCTACGTATACCACCGATGGTACACTTACCATTAGACATATTTATTTTATGCGCTGAAAATATATGTTTATAACAAATTTAATTCTGTAAAAAAATATTTCTATTCAAATATTGATGCATTATACAAAATGCAGTATAGAACAAAGCACATAAGTTTGTTTGATTGTTATATTTACAATAATTAATAATTACATGTAATGGTTGATTTTGTTAAAGCAAAATTAAATGGCCTGAATGACAAGTCAGGTAAAAAGGGCTTGGCGCGAACGTGTTAATATCAATAAAAATTATTATTTAATAAATGTAAAAATAATATGTACAAATCATAGATATTTAATATGTGTCTTTCTCACATTTGAATACAATTTTGACATCTGCGAATATAAATTGACGTATATTTTCAAATATTTCTTAAACTAATGTATTTCTAAAGAAATTTGTATGTGTACATTCAATATGTTGTAAAACAGACTCTGTTATGACATCGAATGCTCATAAATAATAAAAATTTAATTTACATCAAAAGTGTAGATTTTAAGACTTATGTTAATTAGACATTTTATACTCTTTTTGATAAATATTATAAGCCCTTAAAGTATCAGATACTTTTTTTTTTACAACAGTATATACAGTGATTCACAGGAATATTAAGTATTATTATTGTTATTTTAAAATAATCAATAGTTTTTTACAATACAATATATTCAAAATTTTATACAGAAAAACATATTTTAGGATTATTTAACTTTTACATCTTATCGCAAAAAAAAAAACATTTTATTATAAAATAAGTAAAATTTGACTTAACTGATAAGAAAATTGATTTCACAAGACATACCCAATTATTTTAGAAACATTATTAGATGCAAAGGAAGGTCAATAATATAATAATTATACTTTTATTTTATCTTATGTTGTTAAAAATATTCTTATGAGATCAATTTGGTTATCAATGAAATAAAATTCTATTTCTTAAATAATAACATGTTTTTTCTGTAATCAAATTTATATCAATTTGAAAGTTTAATAATTCTAAAATATATTTCTCTGTAGAATAATTTTGGCATTACAAGCAAAAATTAATTATTTAAAATTTATACTAGGAACGAGTAAGAATGCTTCTATGATTCACTGTTTGTAGCATGTATGTAGATGTGATACAAAAAAATTCATTGAACGTGATACGATACGAAGCAATAATTCTATAGTATTAGGGCAAATACAAGCTACTGTACCATCTCTATCTCTCTCTACTTATTTATATCCAAATAGTATAAATATATAGTCAATGTTTTTGACTAAAAAATATTACCATTATCTATCTTTTTTCACACTTCAATCAGACGTACAATGAGTTCTAAGAATATTCGTAGACCATTGCATTACTTTCAATTTAAAGTAATCAATATTTTCTTGTAATACAATATTCCCAATTTCTTATACATAGAAACATATTTTACAATTACTAATCCTTTTGAAATTAATTTTATTCTAAAAGAATATTTTATTGTAAGAAAAGTTTACTTTTACTTAAGGGTTCATTCTGGTTTATACGCCGAAAAAAAGGCTATTTTCACGATTTTTTTTTAGGCTTTGTAGGATATATATACATATGAAAGTTGTTGGGTATGATAAATACACTCTAGAAGTACAAGAAAAAAATTTTTTTTTATTGTTTTTAACGTTTTTTGACATCCAAAATGGCTGACAAACGTGAACCCTTCAAAAGTAGGTATACTGTTGGCGGGCATCGAAATTTGAGAACGGTTGATCTAAAACAAAAAAATTAAACGGTTTTAAATTCAGTATGACAATGGCTATCGGGTATGCTAAAACTATCAATTTTTATGAAAACAAAAACGGCCATTTTTCGAAAAAAAAAATCGTTGATTTTTTTCAGTCTTTTTTACAAAAAAAAATATAGTAAAAATTAATATTTTGACTTGGTTGTAGCATACGAGATAGCCATTCGTAGAGTATGTGATTAAAATTTCAGAAGGATCGGTTGAGTAATTTCGGAGATATCATGCCCGCCAACCGAAAAATGTTGTTTCGAGAAAAACGCGTTTAAAGTTTCTTTTAACAAATTTTTAAAAAGTCTGACTACCTTATTCTGCGATGCCTGCACCATACAGTATGCCTTCTGCTTCTTCAAAATACACTTTATCTTCCACTCGAGCCTTTTTTCGTTGTGTCCTGGCCTCTTTTAAAGCTTCTCTGCTCAAACGATTGGCTGAGCGCACACGCGTGTTGTCGCAGTTACTAGCGTAATTGACTGCAATAGGGCCAAGTTTTATCCTCAAAACGTGCATTATTTTTAGTATTGGATCAAAACCTTCGTTGAATATACAAGCTGCCAATTTACAAGCTATTTCAACAATTTTTTTACCATTAAATAGGTGTTTAGGCACCATAGCCCAAACGCATTTGTTGAAGCACTCATTATTATTTTAAATGTGTGGCCACCTAAACATCTTTCAAGTAATTCTGTTTTTGTCAGGTCAACATCAACCTTTTGTTTTTTGCTGCTATATTCATGTAGAGACATTTCCACTTACACTATCGCAGATGGTTTGTCTCCTCTATTTGTAATATCTCTATGTGTTTGGGTCGCAAAATAATATACTTAAACTGCTCGGATCGTTCTAAAATTTTTGTATGATAATTCTACATATGTCTACTTTCGAAAAATACAAAAAAAATTGATTTTCTCAAAATGATAAACCAGAATGAACCCTTAAATGATAAGAAAATTGGTTTTACAAAACATGCTCAATCGTCTTAGAAACATTTTAAAATGTAATGGAGAATCAATTATATAATATTTATATTTTTATATTATTTTACATAATTGAAAATACTGTAGTGAGAGACCAACTTGGTTATTTTTCTCTCATTTAAGTAAAATTATATTTTTTCAAAAATAAAATGTTACTTTGCAAAAAATTGTAAATTTTAATAATCTTAAAATGTGTTTCTGTGTAGAATAATTTTGATGCTTTGCACATTACAAGCAAATATAAATTATTAAACATTTATAGTGGAAGCGAGTGCGAATACTATTGTACTACTCATTTTACGTCATAGAAATATAAAAATTTGGCCGAAAGTAATTTGTTTACTTTGGCGAGACAAGTGCGATCGATTAATCGTATATAATATTATTAAAAATCGATAACTGTTAAATAAAGGGAACGTGACGTCAAACATCGAGTATACGATGGATAAATATTTTTACGCGATCATTTACGAATTTCTTAAAATTTTTCTTAACTCAAAGAAGATCAATCTATCGATCACCGATAATTCTTGACAAATGTTAAAAAATAGAGGATATTAATTTAATCAAAGTAGAAAATGACAGATGATAACTTAAACTTTTCATTCAATTGGAAAGATAAAAATAATTACATACAAAATCATAACAAAGTATGCAACAGCGCGACAACATTAAATCTAAAATATTCCAGTAATTTCAGTGAAAGTGATCCTACCGAAAATCCATCATCAATCGTGGATTTAGGTGGACAATTTCAGGAAAAATTAAAAAGCTCATCTTCCGGTTCAGAGTTTCGTTTTATTAATCCGGCTATTTACGTGGAATCTTTAAATACTGAAGATAACGAGAAAGAAACTACCACAAACATCAGGATAGGCATTGATCGTACCAACAACAATACCAAAATATTAAATAATGGCGATACAAATGATAGCCGATTCGTTGAATTTGATAGCGGTGATGGAATCAAAAGAACAGCTGATATGTTATCAACTTTGTCCTTGAAAAAAGCAATGGTTTCATCGAGGGGTGATCTTACTACCGATGATATTTCCTCACCAGAAACTTATCGGTGTTACTTTTCTACGTCAAGTACAGCTGCTTCATCTATTAATGCATGTTCTGCTCGTCATTCAGAACCTGTTGTTAACGTAAAACCAATTTCTCATCGGGTCGAAAGACGATGTAAAATTGTTAACGATGAAATTATGAAAAAAGATAAGCGAAGATCATTTTCTTCAAATGACATGGTCATCGACAAGGAAATGGATCAACCAGAAGCACCAGTTCAAAGGTTTATTAGGTTTTTCTAAACTTAACACATTCGCGACCGCTGACGTGAATTCACGTCTTTTCAAGTTCTATTCTTGGTTGCCGCTGATGTGATTCATGACATTTTATATTTTAAAAATTTAATAAAAATTAATTTATATATATATATAAATTTAAAAAATTATATTATTTTATAACTATTATTATTTTTTATTTTTATTTTTTATTGTTATTTTATTATTACTTTATTAGTACAGGTCTCCTTCCAACAACACGGTAGATAGGTTCCTAGAAAATGCCGTGTTATTTGAAACTGTGTTGTTTGAGATCCAGAACCAATGTAAAAAAGAGGATTACATTCCGAAAACTTTTTAGTTTTTGCATCTTCCCTCTTTAAAAAATCTGTAATTTTACTTTGCTTGTTGTTTATTACCAGGTCATTGTAAATTTCTCGGTATGGAACTAGACAGTTTTGATGCTCCCTTTTTAATTTTCGGTTCCTTTCTTTGGAAGGATCTGCATTCAAGAAAAATGACTCGAGATTTTCAGCTAAGCTTAGGCCTTCTTGTAATATTTTTAATGTTAACTTATTAACAGTACAATCTTCATCAGTGCTAGTGTCCTCAGGATCAATTTGATTTACAGTTTCGGATACCATTTCCATCAAATTCACTTCGTCAACTTCTTCTTCCACTAATAAATCTTGAATGTCCACAATAGCCATTTCCACAAAACCTTCGCCTCCGATTGATTTAGCAAGTTCTAATATGCAACCAATTTCATTTTGTGACGATTCACGCACGTTTTCTATTTTAACTGAAGAGAGCCATATCTTCTTCCAACACGCATTTAATGTTGATGTTTTCAGTTCACAACAGCGTGAGACACTTTTGTTTTCAGGCCATGGAGATGAAAAGAAATACTTTCTGCAACACTGTATATTTAAAACGGTAAGCCTCGCCGCGGCTGTAGAAGTACAGGGTTATAACAAGGTTTTTAGAAAGAGAAAGCAGTTTTATAGGATACCGTGTTGTAGGAGAGTACCCGCAATTATGAATCGTGTTATATATAATTTATATATTTTATATATATATATATAATATATAATAATTAAATATTATATATTATATATTATTTTAATATATATAATATTAAATATAATATTTAACTATAATATTCAAATCATTATATTTTATTATTTAAATATAAATTTAAATAATTTAAACTTATATTTATATTATATATATTTTTATATATTTATATAGACAATATATGCAAAAATTATTGTTTTTTCAAAATTTTATTATTTTTGCCGGTATTCAGTATTAGAATCGGAAAAAATATGCCGGCCGGGAATATGTTAATAATCAATTCAAAACGTTCGTACTCATTCGATCTTTATTTTTATACTTTAAGATATGTTTTAAATGGTCATCGAGTTGTACATATTTCAACGACATCAATTTCAAGCTCGAATATTTCTCAAACGGACGACAAACCTTTAATGGCCAGAAAGAGTGCTCACGAGGAATGGTTACGCAAGAAACAGTTCTATCTTCAACGTAAGAAAGAAAAGGAGGATATGATTAAAAATAAAGAACGAGAGGAAGAAGAAAGATTAGAACGGGAAAAGGAAGAAAAGGAGAGGAGGGAAAGAGAGAATTTTGTCAAGTGGACTGAAAGGAAAAAGAAAGAAGAAGCGGATAGAAAAGCAGCCCTTGAGAACGAAATGAAAATAGAAAAACAATTGAAGGAATTAGAGGAGAAAACGGTCATTGCTAAAGCTTTGTGTCTGCGACAGTGGGCTCGTAAAAAAGAAGAGGAACAGAAGGGTAAACATTATTTAATATTACTTACAATTAATTCCAATTGGAAAGGAATAGAGTATAACTAACATTTTCTTAAATTTGAGATTAATGCATAATTATAAAGTAAACATTATCTTATCATCTCAAATTTTAAGAAAATGTAACTTGTATCACCTTCTTTTTTAGTTACATAATTTCATTTACTTTATTCTAAGTTCTTTAGATATTTTATTCTTATCATTATTATGTGCATTTTACAGGCAATGTATAAAAAGCAGTCATTGTGTAGAATATCTAGCATTTTGGAGGGAAATATAAAATATGTAAATTTTTTTAATATTAGGTATACTGTACCTAGCCATTAGATAGAATTATTATTATTATTAATTGGCGTTAGGAACTCGACAGTTCATTGCTGCAAATACCAAATCACTACAGTCATCTACCGAAAAAATAATGTATTTCCTTTTCCCCAATTTAATATACAGGGTGATACATCAGCTCTTGCCACCTAAACAGCTCCGAAAGTATGATAGTAGCGGAAAAGTGGATAAGGAAAAAGTTGCATAAAAATTTCAGGACTATATAATGACATTAGTTTTTTTTGCTGGGTTGAGTCATTTTCGAGATTTATTAGTCAATTTTGTTTTTTTAAATACAAAGTTATATAATAATACTTATTTTCAGATAGGGACTGATAAGACGAATTCAATGATGTGCAGTATTAAATACAAAACCTGGCAATGACCAATAAAAATTATTCGGAAAATATCTGTTCCGTCCGTTGTCGGAACAACTAAAGGTGACGCAACCCTGACGCAACCCTGACGTGACCACGACACGATCATGACGCTGAAGAGCTGTATTGTGGCCGGCTTGTTCGCAAGTTTTGACCTTCGTTGTTCTTCAAAAATATTAATGTTGCACATCATTGGATTCGTCTTGTCAGCCGCTATCTGAAAATAAGTAATAATATATAACATTGTATTTAAAAAAACCAAGTTGACCAACAAATTTTAAAAATAACTCAACCTAGCAAAAAATACTAATATCATATTGTAGTCCTGAATTTTTCATGCAACTTTTTCCTCATCCATTTTTCTGCTATAATCATACTTTCGGAGCTATTTAAGTGGCAAGAGCTGTTGAATCACCCTGTATATATTAAATCTTTGTACAATAGCGCATGAAAGAGCACTACAGTTGAAAGAACAACAAGAGGAAGAAGAACGAAAAAGGAGACAAGAGGAGAGTATTAAAGCTTACGAAGAGTGGCGGGAGAAGTCGAAAAACCGACCTAAACCCGCGACACAAGGATTATTTCGTTAGTATACAATTCAACTCCATCATTGTTTCACTATATTTCTAATAATATTAGGATAAACAAAAAGTTCGTGTGTTTATTGTGTTGAAACTTTACTTTAAAACTGCATAAAATAGATTGTTTTTGTAAAATTTACTTTGGAAATATTAATTCAAGAAACGTACGAAATTTTTGTTTCACCTTAAATAATAGTAATAATAATAATATAGCTTGTCTCGTTGTACTATGTCATTTTATATATGTCATTTTATATATATAGCATATCAAGCAGCAAAGCCAGGATTTATAAACCCAACTCCATGGCAAAAACTCATTGAAGACGATTCTAATGACGACCAAGAGGACGTTAAGAAGACTAAAATAAAAAGAAAGCAAAATAAAAGAAAAAAATAAATAATTAAAAGAGAACATTAACAAAAATCTTGTTGAGAGATTTAATGACCGATCCACATCGATTACGATCTTGATTATCATTTGTAAGATTTTACAGTTTTAGATGAAGGCGTACGGTTTTGTTTTTATAAGTGTTGTATTTTTAAAACGTGCATATGTGTCAGCCTTCTCGATCAATGGCTACATTTGACATTAACATAATATCTCAGTTTAATATTTTTTATTAATATTATTTAATATGTTACACATTCTGATTGACGATTGATATTCATCTACTGTTCAAGTTTAATTTCTTTTATTTAATTAATTATAAATTATAATTCATTATACAAAATATACGATAAATGAGATATTTATAGTTAAACCAAATAGGATGAAAATATAATCGCAGGAATTACATTGGTAGACTAGAGGTACGTGCCCTCATAAACTTAACATCATTAACTTTAAATTATTTCAATTAATAATACGTTTGTTTTTAGCGGCACGATCATGATAGTATATTATTGCGTGGCAATGCGCAATATATAAATACTACACACGTTCTAATAAACTTGACATGATAGAGAGAATACATTTGTTAATAGTATCATCTGTGAATAAAAATACAGTGCTTATAATTAGTATATTCTATGATTTTTTTATTTACTTGCTCATAGCTTCTTCTTCTTCCTGAAGTCTCTCGATGTCCGATTTGTTCATGAAATAATACGAAGGTTGTCGTGATTTCTAAAAAAAAAACATGCAATTATTATTTAACTGTATTATTTCTTAACCCATTATCCGCCAATGGCTTTTTTTTAGGCCGTATTAAAAATTTTTTTTGAAGTGAAAACTTCTTTAGAATAGAGAGTGATTTGAAAAAAATGAAACACGGTCGGTCAGGAAACGAGCTAGGCAACGGCCACGATATTTAGTAAGAAGAGAAATAGAGACAAACATATAGGATTTAGCCTGCGAGAGAATGAGACAGAATATAGCTATACAGTATTTTCTATTCTCGTTCTCCTCTTTATGCTCTGCTTCGTAGTTATCACTCCTAATTGTATATATGTGGGTTTGTGTGCGACTGCATACTACAAAGCGTGGACACGTATTTTTTCGATACTCGAAATGTTTGTAGGTACGAGCGATAGAAAGGTAAAAAAATAAACAAAGATAAGCACGTAGGTATGCGACAAAAGTATAAGGTCCAAACCAACCGACGGTTGAAATAAAGAAAGAAGGTGCGTGGTCTGTTTTTATTTTACCAAACGTGGTATTTCTTTTCTATTTAAAAATATTTCTATTTTATTAAAAAATTAATATTAAATTATTTATTTCGCAAATATTGTAATTAACAATTACGAAATATATAGAATATAATAATTGTATTGTCTGCAATATTTTACAAAAAAATGAAATGATTATCAGATACATCAGAGAAAAAAAATTAAACAACATTGTAGAATATTTTTCTTATAAATATCCAAAGACGTTTTTTAATTATAATGTTTGCGTATTTAGGAAATTTATACTAATTTTTCAATAAAATAGAAAAGTTTTTAAATAGAAGAAACTAAACACGTTACAAAAACAAATAAACCTTATTTACTTTATATTTCCAATAAGAATAAAATAATATAACTTATTTTACAAATATAGAAAAAAAAAATATAGAAAATAAATTTTTAAACAAATTTTTAATATTATAAAATAAAACAACGAAAATAGAAATAGATTTTAAAATCGTTGTAATTCAAAACTCGATGAAACGAAAAAGATACGACCACAATTGTTCCCTTCTTTAACAGCATCTACAGTTATTAGTTGCAACACAAAAAGAAATATTTGTGTAAACTAACCCATGATAAAAATATCTCACATTCACAGAAAGTGTGAAAAGGGTAAAAGAAAAAAAATTTATCCACCTGAGTTTCAAAAAAATATATATATTTACTTAGGTTAAAAGATAGGATATCTTTCCACAGACAAACATTCTACCATTTTTGTTTCTATCTATGGCTATCGCATTCAGCATTCCATCTTGATGGATAGAATTTTGAAAATATTAGTTTTTGTCAGCTACCTATACCCCAAAGTCGGTTCCTTATCATGAGAAAAGAATTATAAAAAACAGGGAAGGTCTGTTGAAATTCGATCTACATTTATTATCTTTATTATCGATGCGATAATATTCATGCCTATAGTTTTTTTTTACAACGTGTCATACCTTTTCTATTTAAAAATGTTTCTATTTTATTGAAAAATTAGTATTAAATTCTTTATTTTGCAAATATTATAATAAATAATTATGAAGTACATAGAATATATAATAATTGTATTGTCTGAAATATTAAAAAAAAAGAAAAGGATTACCAGATACATCAGAGAAAAAGAATTAGAGAATACTGTGGAATAAATGAGGAACAGCTGACAAATTCCATTCAAAAGCAAGTAAATTACTGTTATATTTTTATTTTGCTTCTTTATAAAATATATTTGATGCATAAAGACAAAATATGTCTATTAAATTTGATTTTTATATGTTTTTATGAAAAATATCCAAAGAGATGTACTTACCCATGCATATATGAAAATTATATTATAAATTGTGATATTTGCGTATTTAAGAAACATATACTAATTTTTCAATAAAATAAAAACATTTTTAAGATATTGAACGCCCAGCGTGAATCGGTGGAGCTTACCACGGGGCCTAAATTTGAAACTCGTAGTGTACACAGTTCGATAAGCTTAGAGAGCGATACGATTCAATGCATTTTTTAGATTTTTCGTTGTTCAGATCTTTATTTAGACGAGAGTATTTAGAAAGATAAGTTTGTGGTCCAAAGAATAAAGACGAGATATGTTATAAATAATAAGGGTCTCGCGAAGTGTGGTAGGCTACAGAGTTGAAAAATCATTTTTAGAGAATATCTTTATTAGATCTTTCATTGCATTTTACCAGAACCTTCGTTCAGTCCAGCAGTATTTTCCGTATGTTTTTCGTAATGTCTTTATTTCGTCTATCCTAAAATGTTTGTTATACAGCGCAAGAATGTAGATGAAAACGGGAAATTGAAAATTATACTAACAAAAAAAATTTTATACCTGAGTTTCAAAAGAAGGATTATTTATTTATTTTTACGTAATTTCTGACGAATTATATTTCCTTTGATAAATATCTTACAATTTTGGTGTCTATTTATAACTATCGGATTCAGCATTCCGTTTTTATTGCTTGAATTTGGAAAAGTGTACTTTTTATCAGCTATTCCACCCAGAGACCATACCGGTGACCTTTATTATATATGGTAATAATATTATAATAAATAAATCCTACAATTATCTTACTCTTGAAACTGTGCATTCGTCTCATTCTCTCGAAACTTAGATTTTTGAAGATTTCACTTCTAACACGTGTGATCTTCTCACATGTTTTTGTGCCTGACTTTACTTACGCGATGAGAGAAACTCTCACAGTCGATAAATTATTATTTATTTTTTCATTAATTTTTAAGTTAAAACAAAAATTTTTTTCACTATCTTGTAAAACATTAAATTTTAGGCAAGTAAAAAAATTTCCAAGGAGTCATTCCTTTTCAAATTAGAAAGAAAAAAAAAAGTTTTATAAACAGTGTGAGAGAATCTTTCTACACGATAGTACTGAAGTGTTAAAAAAATTATATAATAAAACAACGCAAGTGAAAAATAGATTTTAGAATCGTTGTAATTCAAAACTTGATGGAAAGAAAATAATATGACCACAATTGTTCTGTTCCTTTTCAAGCATCTAAAAGTATCAGTTGTAACAAAAAAAAAATACTTATGTGTGCTGACTTGCGATAAAAATATCTCAAATTCACAGAAATACTATCATCTACCTGAGTTACAAAAAGGATATATTATTTTAGTATACTATATTATATTCCGTCAATGTTCCAAATATGGGACGGGCTGTAATATTTATATTTTACCAAAAAAAAAAAAACAATTGTTGCAAAAATAGTTCTAGTTTGGTTAGTATGAATATCATTATACAGTTAATTTAATTTTTCTTGCATTTCTGTATTGTGGCGGGTAATGGCTTAAAATTGAAATATACAAAGAACTCTGTACAAAGCTTACCAAATCTTTGATGATTCGTTTAGCACCTGCTTTTATTAGAATGCTACTTAAAATTTCAACCGACGGTACTCCCATTGCATAGTGAAGAGCAGTTCTTTCCAACTGAAAATCAAAATAAAATGTTTCAGATTGACAATTAATAGTTTAATGATGATTGCAATAAGAATCAAAAGTGAACACGCGTACGATATTTAAAAAAAAAAAATGTAAATCAATTTCTTTTTTTCAATGTTTGTATATAGAATTTAAAAAAGAAAAAAAAATACATAGCATTAAGAAATATATTTTAGATTTACAGAAAAGTCTGTTATCTATCTGATTACTGCTTCTTTCTGTCTTTAAAAAATTTTCTTCGCGATATACGTTTAAAAGAAATCAGCAAAAAAAAGCACACCTCCAGGCTTATTTCTTATCAAAAACATAATAATTTCGAAAAAAGAACATTATAAGGCTTAGAAGGTAATAGAGCAAAAGGGTTCTTATATAACAAAATAAATAATATCTTAAACGGTAAATATTGTGTATTCATTTCGTATTATAAAGTTGGTGCATATGAAATGTCGTTTTTTTGTTACATGGAAACGTTTCTCTTCATGTTTTCGTTATGATTTTGTTTTTGACATAACCTCTTTTATAGTCGTACTGTCCATTACCAGAGTAATATTTTAATATAGAAGATTTTCTCAAAAGTGTTCCCTTTTGTTATTTGTTTTGAATTTTGTACCGATATGAATTTCATCGTGTAATTTTCTTGTATGAGTATAAGATTGGTAATAATGCTGCAAAAACTGCACGAAACATAAACCAGGCTTTTGGAAAGAATACCGTTAATAATCGAAAAAGCATTGGTTTGAAAAATTTCAGTCTGGTGATTTTTCACTACAAAACGAATCGCGAGGAAGACCCAAAACGACCGTGAAAAATGATGATCTGAAAGCATTGGTGGAAGCGAATTCAACTGTACTCACGAGGGAACTTGCTATCAGGATAAAAGTTGACCATACAACGATATTGCTACATCTTTCTGAAATTGGCAAGGTGAAAAATATTGGTAAGTGGGTACCGCACGAACAGACCGAGCAAAATAAGCTGAATCGTTTAAACGTATGCTCATTGTTACTAACACGATTACATCGAAAGCCATTTTTCGATTGGATTATTACCTGTGACGAAAAATGGGTTCTTTACGACAAGAGAAAAATGTGTGCTGGGTAACTTGATAGGGATGAGGCTTGTGCTAATACTCCAAGGCCATCACTTTATCCACTGAAGATTTTAATGATAGTTTAGTGGAATGTGACTGGTTTAGTTCATTTCTCATTTCTTCGAACAGGAGAGACAATTACCGTCGAAAAGTATGCCAGTACATTGATAAGATGCATGAAAAATTGAAAATTAAACGCCCATCACTTGTTAATCGGCATAGCCCACTACTTCTTCATGACAATGCTTGGCCGCATATATTGAAAAAAATAATTACAAAATTAAATGAATTGAAATATGAAGTTTTGCCGCACCCAGCTCATTCACCGTACTATCATTTTTTGAAACATTTGGAACTATTTTAACGGGCTAAACAATATGAAAATAAAGACAGTCTAAAAAATGCAATATTAGAGTTTATTGATTCTAAACATAAGAATTTTTTTAAGAAAGGCATTTATACTTTAAAGTCTTATTAAGAAAAGTGTATTGAAGCGAACGGAGCAAATTTGATTAAATAAACACCTTTTGTAAAAAGATATGTAATATTATATATTCACTTAAGAATCCGACATTTCAAACGCACCAACTTTATAGAAATAAAAAGAAAGAAACTTATGGAACAATCTAATACTTTTATGCGAAAATATTGTATGTATTTTATCGTTTCGTTTCTCACTGTAATCGATCGTACGAAAGCATAATAATACTTTTTACTCACATTGTCGCCGATTCTTAATGTTTCCGGATACGTTTTAGCGATTATTCTAACAATTTCTTCGTTTTCTCGTAATACTGCGATGTGAAGAGCACACCGTCCGGTTATGTTTTTTCCAACAGCTAATAACTTTCCACCGCCGTTATTTTTATTTAACAATTCTTTCACTTTGGCAACATCTGCCGAACGTATGGCACGGTGTACTTCCTCCCGTTGATCCTAACGCATGCAAAATTAAATACACATATGTATAATGTTATAAGTGTGTTAATACCTATGTTATATGTGTTTTTCAAAGTTGTTCAATTTTTCTGATTATTCACACTTTACCACGTAGTTAGGTATCGATTGTAAAAATTGTACAGTTGCTTCGTGATTCCTCTCGTTTGCGATTTCAACGATATTCATTTCACCATCTTGCGCGTCGAAAATGTGATCGTAACCTTCCAACAAAAGTTCTACTAATTTTTCGGTTTCTCCTACGAAAAGAAAACAAAATTGTAAACTTTTAAAACATCCCCATTATACTTTCCATATTATTGATAATAATATGCACGATGTCACATTGGAAATATTGCATTATATTTCAATAAAGTTCAGAAACATGATGCAATATGTTCAGAAATTGTGTATTTTAAATATCAAAAATCTTCTTGATTCCTCCTAATATATTGTAAAATATTTCATTATAGCCCATACGATGATCAAACATAAACTGAGACTGTTATACGTAAATAATATTAAACGTGTATGTGGGCAATTTATGATTCACGTAATATAATGTGTCATATTTACAAATAATTTCTAAGCTATTATGGGCGCTCATTCCACATTAAATTTGTAATATTTATAGTAACAATTCGGTTCAGAATACAAAAAAAAAATAAATAATATTTATTTAAATGTAAAATGTGAAATTTAATCTTTTCATTATTGAAATATGTTTTCACAAAAATGTATCCCTACAGAAAAATTCAACGTTCTCAGAGTACATCGTAACTGAATTCCTGTTTTATGACGTTTCAAAAGTTCCATAGTCAAAGGATTATAATACAAAGTAAATTGAATGATTTGAGGAAAATAATGCGCCATAATTCATAGTCACACGTCAATAATATTAACACTTTTGTTACAAGCGTCGGATATATCCGACATCTATCTGATGACTTCTATATACGAGTGACAGATATTGTTTTAACATTGTTTTATTAAGCACAATTCTTATTTAACCAGTTAACTGAGTTTGACGAGTATACTCGGTATGAAGAAGTGGCAGAATTTTGTGTCATGATTAGTATACTTGTCATGCGTAAGAAGTAGTGATCATTGGCTATTTAAATTGTAATTTTTGTGAAAAACGAAACATATTCTTAAATTTCAAGATGTTTAGAATATTATGCTGCCATTTTGGTCGTACTCGCCATGACACAAAATTGTGTTACTACTTCATGACGAATACGCCCGTCAAACACAGTTAACTAGTTAAAGATGTATTACTGATGTGATCAAATACCAACGTCAAAAATTATATTACCTCTGGCAGCTAAATAAACGACCCAACGATCGATTTCTTCCACATTTTCACGGATATTAGCTTGTTCCGCAACATCCCTAGCCGTTCGATAAACTTCGTCCCTAAATCCAACGTTGACCTGCGTCTCTTGCAAAAGATGATACAAACCATCTTTCGAATAAGAACGTACAGCTGCAAAATGTATCATACTTTGTCCATGCTCGTCCTGCAAATGAAATAATATAAGACACATCATTTGTAGGAATAAATTAACTTTAAACACTTTTGTTTGATTATTGGAAAGAAACGTACTCTGTTTGGATTGCTAAAAGTTGACTCTGGTACATCGGAATCTGGACTTTGAGGATAACCTGCATCCTCCTCTCCTCCGTTTTCATTGCCAGGATTCTCGAGAAATTCATTGTCACGTTCAGGTATTATTAGAACGTTAGATTCCTATAACGTTTGTAATATATATGTTAATGTCAAAGTGTTTCATTCAATTATTTATTAATTAAAATAAGGTATTACATGAAATAAATAAATGATTTACAGGAAAGATATAAAAAAAAGTATTTTATTTTACAATTTAATTATAATAGTTGTTAAATATTATACAATATTTGCTTTTAATGCAAAGCTTTAAAATTATTTTACATAGAAATATATTTTAAAATTATTAAACTTTCAAATTGATATGAATTTGATTGCAGAAAAAACATTTTATTATTTAAGAAATATAATTTTACTTCATTGAAAGAGATAACCAAATTGGTCTCATAAGAATATTTTTAACAACGTAAGATAAAATAAAAATATATAATTATTATATTATTAACCTTCTTTTGCATCTTATAATGTTTCTAAGACAATTAGAGATGTCTAATGAAATCAGTTTTCTTATCAGTTATGTCAAATTTTAATTCCTTTAGAATGCAATTAAATTAATATCGATTTACAAGTTTTAATAAATCTAAAATATATTTTTATGTTCAAAAATTTGGAAATATTGTACAATCAAAAAAATATATTGATTATTTTAAGTTGATGGTAGGATTAAGCATATACTTCTATGGCTTACTGTATATAAATGAATGATACTCTTAACAATAAAATATTATATTATTTTAAATAAATAAATAAATACAAACCCTTTGACTGTCGTTTTTATTACTGCTGGCAAAATTATATAAATAAGTGGCCAAATAGGTGACTGGATCGTTTGGACGTGCATTGGCTACTTCTGTTAGACCCTTGATCAGTGGATCACCCAATGCTGTCAAAAGTATATTATTATTATTATTATTATTAATATTATTATTAATATTATTATAATTAATTAGTGATAGGAACTCGAAAGTTCATTTTCGTAAATGCTAAATCCTGTCAGTATTCCCGTCCCTGGGAGTGACCCTTCCATTCGCGGTTTTCGTAGCCTATTTCTTTAAGATCCTTTCTAATATTGTCCTCCCATCTATGTCTCGGTTTCCCCAGTGGTCTTTTTCCGTTCAATCCTCCCCCATGCGCGTCACATAACCTGCCTATCTTAATCGGCGTGATTTTATGATATTAATGACGAAAATGACTTTTTATTGTCCCATAACAAAGCAATATCGTCCGCGTATGTCAACAATTGCGTTGTCCCGTTCAATTGCAGATCATCTTTACTTTTCTGCAGTTCTTTGACAGCAAATTCCAGTACTAAATTGAACAAAAGGAGTGACAGTGCATCCCCCTGTTTTAATCAGCTATGAATACTAAAAGTTTCCGACATTTGATTACCTATTCTCCCTTTACCCCTAGTTTCCTTTAAGTAAACTTGAATCAACATTATATTCAAAGTTAAAATCTCTTTCTCTTATTCTTTAAACGAGATAAGAATTTTCTTATATTTCAAATATTATACTTACATGTTGCTAAATAACGACCTTCCTCTGTACGAAATATAGGAATATCAAGTTGATTATCGTCTGAAAAATACATTCTTTTATTACTCTATAGCGTATACTAGATAACATATAATAAATATAATTAACACTTTCACGACGGTAACCGTAAATTTATTTTAATTTCAAAGTCTTTAGCAAAATACAGGACACAATCCTACGTTATTTAAAAATGCTTAACAGAATATGAACTGCGTAGTCCTATGTCTTTTCAAAATTGGCGCTTTCTAATTCATTCATTTATTATATACAGGGTGTTTAGCAAAATACGGGACACAATTCTACATTATTTAAAAATTTTTAACAAAATATTGAATATGGTCCTACATCATTTTAAAATAGGCGCTTTTTAATTCATTTATTTGTTATATACAGAATATCTAAGATTTTTTTCGTACAAATATTGTGAGCTTATAGTATTCTCAAAAATGAGAAAAAAAGATTTCATATAAACATAAGTCATTAGAAAGAGTTTATTCGACAGTTATAGCAAATTGTAAAACTGTTTAACAGGTTGAGTGCCAAGCCAATTTTACCAGGATTGTTCGTGTTCCACGATGTGAAATACGCCGGTCACGGCCATATGGCCGGTGGCCCCCATGGCGTCACAGCTAAGTTAAGTGCCGGACACCGGTGACCCCCGTGACATTCAACCTGTTTAATGCGTTGTTCAAAATGTTTCCCGTCTATACGCGAATACAAGTTTGATAGTACATTGTTTATGACATGGCGAATTTCTCTTGCAAATTTCTATTAATTTCTAACAGCATTCTTAATTCGTTCTATCCTAACATCAAATTTAGTTATCTTAGTTATATAAATTTCTTGTTTTAGTTTCAGCTACAAATAAAAATCCTAGTGCGGTTAAGTTAGTTGATTTAAGTGATGAAATTATTGTTCAAATAAAAATACATTTTTGAGCAGTATATTTAAACAATTTTACAATTTATTTTATAAATTTTGAGTAAGACTTTAAATGACTTATGTTCATAGAACATTTTTTTCTTATTTTTGTTCGTAGAATAAGCTGACAATTTTTGTACGAAAAATACCTCAGACACCCTATATAAGATACTTATAATAGAAATAAATATGAATTTTTGCAAATTATTTGCCTTTAATATAATCAGTAATGATTCAAATTTAATTAATGTATTAAAAATGATCTACAGTAAAGATTATTAGGAAGCATCAAAAATTGCACCATTTATAAACAATACAAATTTCAGAAATTTTCAAAGTTAATGAAAATTGTACGTAAATCTATAAATTTATCATAAATTTACTTTATTCACAACAAAATATTTTACCATTTACGCATTTGTAATGTCCTTTGCACTCTCGAGTGTGACTCGACATCAGTTTTTATCTCACGAGAGCTTCTTTGTCGAGTCCCGCTCGACATTTTTACTTTTATCAAACTGCTTTATTTTTTAGTTAAAGTAAAACATTAAAAAACATTAAAAGATGTTGGTAACAAAATTGAAAAATAATTCGGAGTGCAAAGGGCTAATATTTTCAAACTTTAAATAATAAATGACTATAAGCATCATATTAACATTTTTTATATTCAAATTGAAAGAAATAACAAAACTTTGCCGTATTCAGCTACAGACACTTTCAAAAATTTTATTTTATTATTTATTTATTTTATATTATTTAAATTATTATTCAGTTAAATTTTTTTTATTATTATTATTTTTTCAATTATTTAGTTTATTTATTTTGTATTCAGTTAAATATTTTTATGTCAGTTTTATCACCCGTCTTGAAAGTGTTAAATGGACAAATAATACGTGAAATAAAAAAATAGTGCAAGGAAAAGTCGTGATTAATCCTTATAATAATAATAATAACAATAATAATAATAATAATAATAATATTGCTTAATTTTCTTCAACGATCATTCATCAATCTCGGTATGCAAAAGCAAGCAAAAAATTCGTGCCTTGGTGTTCAACCATAAACGTCATGGGATTTAACTTTGACAGTGAGTATTCAAAATAAATCAAAAAACTTAAAAAAACGTGTGACTCAAGTTAAAAAAAAAAAAAAGAAAAATTTTATACTTATACATAAATAATGTGTAAATAAATTATATTACTATGTTGGAAAGACGTGCCAGAGTTATTCTTTCCTTCGCGTGTGAACATTGACGCGTGCATGAATCAAAACAACAAAAGCTTAAGCTTTCGAAAATTTCCGTTTAAAATGTTCTTCATTGATGTTTTCACATTTCATTGTGATTAACAAAAATTATCCCTTAAAAATTTATCGAAATATGTTATAATAATAATAATACTTGACAATTATTTGACATTACATGTATTATCACGTATAATATACGTATGAATAATAAATAAAAAAAAAAAGCATACTTTAGATACAATAAGAAGAGTGTGCGATAACAATGTGTCAAAACAATAATATTATTAGAATTTATTTATATATTATTTTTTGGTTATATTTTTTCAAATATTTTACTAACCTAATAAGCAAAATGCGACCTTCTCTTCTTGGCAAATAATCTCCACACATCTCAATGTGTTTTTATTGTTTTACTAAAATAATTATTCAAACTGGATAATAATGTTCGATGCACGAGATAGAGTCAAAACAACGTTCACACATCTTTCCAACGTAACGCACGAAAGGGAAGAAAAAAAGAAAAGAATCGGAAAATGTCTTTCTCTCACCCTCTCTCTCTCTCTCTCTCTCACTCTCACTCTCTCACACTCTCTCACACTGTCTCATACTCTCTCATTCTTTCTCACTCTTTCTATAATACTACAAAAAGCGATTATAATACTAACTCGTATTGTGAAAGAGAAATAAAATGGACGTCGTCGTAGTCGCCATTTTTGTACGAATGATCACGCAAGAAGAAAAAATAAATAAATAAAAAGTATAAATTAATAATGATTCTGAAATAGATTATATCCGATCGATGACGATGATAATATAATGTTGAAATTGTTATTATTTTTTGCGAGATGTAAATTTGTTGTTGTTCATCGATCGTAATCATAGTTATCGATCAAGATCGAATTCTTCTAGCATTTGTCTTTTTACGAAATATTCCGGCAATCATGTTAGCTATTCTAAGTGAATTGTTCAATGTTAATTCTTTTTCCAATAGAATAATATTTGAAATTGCTCTAGAAAAGTCTTGCAGCGTTTGTAATTCTGTGATTGACAAACACTGTTGATTGGTAAGTTTAAATGTATCCTTTCGTTGCGTATCGCACACCCCGAGTCCACGTACGACGCATAAATGTTTCAAATGGTCCCGTTCTTTCGACAATTCGGTAAACTTAACGATCAGAGTGAATTTTAATGTGTTACCGATAGCATGAGGTCTAGAACTAAGGAAACCAAATTTAACGTCTCTCTTAAAATGTAATCTTTGATCCAACAAACGCATTAGTTTGGCTAATTTAACGTAGGCCTTGCCAATCAGGCCAGGTTTATTGTCCGTAGTACGAGATATAACTCTGAGATGATCTTGAACATTAACCCAAGCTGCCAAATCGCCAGCAGCAGCAACATAAACACCTCGACCATATGGCCAATGTTTGCCATGAAGACGTTTAGCGTCGTGTATTTCGAACTCGGTAATTGGCAACAATAAACCTGACGCTGCCAATTGAGCTCTCAAAGGACTCGGTTGATCCAAAAGTTCGCTCAACGTTAAATAATTTCCAGCCTCGTCTTCCGTACTACCTTCGGCCATTATTATTGAAATTTCTGGGCTCATAAATTCACTGGTTAAAACCCGTTCGACGTCTTCGAGTTGATTAACAGTCAAGGTCAACGGTAGAGTATAATTCTCGAGATTTCTGCAACATTCAATGGTACCGGCCTGAACAAACTTAGCTGAAGGATCCAAATCGTAATTTTCCAATGTAGATATGGCCATTTCGTCGACATAATTTCCATCATTGTTGTTATCGGTTGAATCGTTAATGTCGAAAAAACGTGTTGCCGGATGATCAGGAAGATCCCCGCTTGCCGTCAAACAATGCAACTCTCTGATTATTGGATCAAACAGTTCGGCAAATACAATGTAACTTTCGTAATCAGGCACTACGACGATATTATTATCGATTATTGTATCATAATCGATACTCATAGTTGAATTGATGCTGCTGTTGTTGCTGCTTGTCTTGCTAGCAGCAGTAGGATAACCGTATTTTTTAAAAGCGGGCCAAATAACATCGAAAAGATTGTGGTCCATGCGTGTCACACGGTGCTTTATGCGATCGAATATCGGCCGTTTCAGGTAACGACCAAGCAGTGTACCAGGATTCGAGGGTGTCCTAGGTGCCGAGTTTCTTCTAGCGCCAGCCAATAAACGGAAGCATCTCTCCAAGGTCGCCAATGTTTCCGGTTCATTCGTGTCACGTCGGGCCGAGTATTTGTCACCTCCAGGTACTGTTTCTCATCCATGCGAGAACGGTCGTCAGGATACAGATATTATGGTGAAACAGGTGTTCGAACAAGTGACAAACGTCGGGAAGAGGATATATAATAGCATAATTCTAATTTATTACAATGTTGGTATGTGCTTGTGTGTGTGTTATTAACATTTGCCAGTGTGTTTTGTTGTGTGTGCTTCATTTGTCTCACTATTTATGCTTAAATCAAGTTGTGTTAGCAACTAAGTGTTTGCGGATTTTGTCGATAAATGGCCTTTTAAAATCAGCAATCACGTGCTTGTATATGTGTGTTTGTGTGTATTATTAACATTTGCCACAATGTCCCTATGTGTTTTTTTCGTTTTGTGTGCTCCATTTATGTCACTATTTATACTCAAATTAAGTTGGGTTCCTAATTAAGTAATTGCAGATTTTGTCGATAGATGGCCTTTTAAAATCAACAATCACTTTTAGTTGCCAACCTAATACATCTAATTAGTGAGATGATATTAAATACATCTACGTAAAATATGTTTCAACGCGATTCATAGAAATGAAACTACTGTACATTTGATTAATACAATTTATCGATTAAATTTATTACAATAGTGACAAAGATGAGGAGGAATAATGTGGGTGCGAGTTTTTGTGCTGATTCGAAATTTCGTGACAAAAAGATAGACTTAATAAATAATAGATTATAATATTATGCGTGTATGATTTATATTATAAGATTTTCAAGAGAGAATTTATATTTATTACTATGCTATTTCATTATCGTGATTTATTATTATTATTAATCGGTATTATTTTTTATTAGTTCAATTGATTTTTTATCTATCGGTGAAAAAAGAAAAAAAGAAAAGAAAAAAAAAAGAAATATCTCAAATTGAATTAATTTGATCATTTTTTTAATTGACATCCCCGAAGTGAGTCTCGAAACTGTGGGTTCGCACGTGTGTTGTTAATATTTTAAATACCTTTGTCCGTCAACATTTCTTCGGCTAGTTTTTCGCTGGCCCCAAAATCGCGAAGTAGTCTTTTGTGCGATAGGTCATCCTGATTTACTTTGTAATGATCCGCCTTATTTCCTAACTACATGAGAAATCAATCTATCGCTAATAATGTAATCGCAAATAAATAAGTAAAAGCTGTCAAATGCGTTTACTATAGGTATAGTTAGGTATATTATGTACTATGCTATAGTATATGTAAACAAGAAGTTATGTACGATTGGTAATATTATTGATTGTTATTAACTGTTTTATTAATCAAAATTGATTACCATCAATGTATTAAAGACAGATATTGTATAAAATTTTTGACATTTTTTTGGCTAAATTTTGAAACGATTAATATTTCACATATTTCTTAAGCATTAGAATGCAATATCAAAAGATAAACTGACAAAGTATAAAATATTTCAGCTAATGACGTTTCTAACCTTACATGATGAGGCACGTTATTATTTATTATTTCGATTATTGCATTATAGTCGCTGCATTACGACTATATGTATATATTACCGTGAAAGACCGAAATTGGAGAATGTCAAAAATCACATGATGTGTCCGAAATATTAATGCATAAAAATAAATCTTAATATTCGATCTTTTACCGACGTATTTGTTGAAAATCGACCACGTGAAACTCGACATTCTCTAATTTTAGTCTTTCACGGTAACCTATAAATAGGTTATAATATATATTTATAAATAGATTGAAAAGATAAAATGATAATAATGGATTTCTATAAATCGTTAGCCTTTATTTGAATAAATTGGTTATAATACTTATTTACCATCCTTGTTTGTCAATCCTTTGGTGTATATTAGAAATATTAATTGAAATTTTGTATTTGATTGAATTTTGTATCACTTGAAATTTTAGTATTTTATTTTTAAAGGTATAAACTATAGAAATATGCAAAAAAAATCGATTTTTTCAAAATTTTACACTAGTGGTGCCCTTTTAGTGACACTCTGTATATATATGTATACAGTTTAAACATCTTATAAAATACCTATTATTCGTGTTATACATTGATGGTAATAACCAATATAATATATCATATAGAAAATATAGCGTGCAATATACAGGGTGATTCATCAGCTTTTACCACCTAAATAGCTCTGAAAGTATGATAGCAGAAAAGCGGATAAAGAAAAAGTTGCATGAAAAATTCAGGACTACAATAAAACATTAGTATTTTTAGCTAGATTGAGTCATTTTCGAGATTTATTGGTCAACTTTGGTTTTTTAAATACAAAGTTATATTTTAATACTTATTTTCGGATAGCGGCTGACAGGACGAATCCAATGATGTGCAACATTAATATTTTTGAAGGATAACGAAGGTCAAGACTTGCAAACAGGCCGGCCACATTACAGCTCTTCAAGCATTACAGCTGCATCAAGGTTGCGTCATCTTTTAGTTGTTCCGACAACGGACGGAACAGATATTTTCCAAATAGTTTTTATTGGTCATTGCTAGGTTTTGTATTTAATGTTGCACATTATTTGATTCGTCTTGTCAGTCCCTATCTGAAAATAAGTATTAAAATATAACATTGTATTTAAAAAAACGAAGTTGACTTATCCTTGTTTTCTACTACTATCATACTTTCGGAGCTATTGAAGTGACAGGAGTTGGTGAATCACCCTGTATATATAAATCGATACGCTTTTGGCAACTTTGATTGAGAAATTATTATGCACGTGACGTATTAATCTTAAGAGTAGTCATTTATACGACGTTTTTCAAATTTTAATAAAAAAAGAAAAAGAAAAAAAAAGCAATGAGAAAATTTTTGACCGGTGCAACAATGCGAGAAAAAATTCCATGCGGATATCTCGACCTTGTAACATATTATCGATATTTTAAATAACACAGGTATAAATTAATAAAAGAAAAACCCCATTTATACTTACGTTATCTTTTACAAGAGGATTAGCTCCTAAATGAAGTAAAAGATTGTAATAGTGACCGTTATCGGCTAAAGTTGCTGCATAATGCAATGGCGTTCTACCGTCGAGATCGATCGCATGTGCCGTTTCCGGGAATCTTCCTGCCAGATATCTAATGCAAAAACAACGTTAAATTAAAATTGTAAACGATAATTTGTTATTACGATTGCTGGTTGTTAGATCGATAAAAAGTGGATTGATAATACAAACCATGTAGAAAAAAAACTAACCTAATAACAGCGGTATTTCCGAATACTACAGCAACGTGAAGTGCTGTTGCACCGTGAGGAGAAGATCCGTCTCTTGCAATGGCAAATTTGCGACGATCCAATGCACTTTGCAAATCTCTCAGATTTCCTTCTCGGGCTGCCATATGTACGGCATGAATTTTTCCCTTTTTTAATAAAAGGTATTATATCTTTTTTGTGAAATGAAACTCTTCTTTAGAATCGGAGGTAATTTTTGAAACTGGATGCAACGAAAAAGCGATAGGTAGCGATAAACAAAATAAACAAACTCGATGAAACATTAATAAAACGGCTACGTTATTAAAAAGAGAAAAAGTGACAAACATATACAGGGTGTGCCATATAACTCTTTTCACAATTTTTCAAATACTTATAAAAATATACTTTAAACAAAAGTTGATCTGTTTTTAATTGAGCATACATTGCAGCAAAAAAAAGTTTTTTCTTTTTAATGTTTTTTAATCGATTAATCTATTATTTTCCTAGCTCACTCTTGCGCACTTGTCAATAATTTATTTTAATAAATCTATATTATTACATGGATCAAAAACTATGAATAATACCATATAAGCTGGCACGTTGTCGATGAAAGCTTGAAGTTCAGGATTATTCGATTGCCGACCAACTAATCGTCGTCCTTCACCGTTTAACACCAACGCTGCCAATTGTTCCATATTTCCGTTCTCCAATAAATTCTCTACTTCCGGATCCAAGATCATGCTACCCTCGTTCAATTCCGTTTCAGGTAATTCTTCGTGTTCACCAACGATGACCTGTACGATGAAATGAGTGTGGTCTATAAATGAAAACTTCTCTGCATAGACACAGTTTAAACGATCGATATGACGAAAGATAGTAATCGTACACGGGAATCCACCTTATTACGGATCGATCGGGACGCGTGTCAAACTCAAAGTAAATAAATGTATAGTTAATTTTTTAGTCTTCACGTCAGAGTAATGAAACTAAAATATTTCAAATATTTTTTTTTTTACAATTACCTAGTATAAATATAAATTTATACGAGTAACTGTAATACCTGAAGAATATACAGAACAATCACCCTACCGGTAGTATTTTATGGTAGTGAAACGTGGTCACTTACGTTACGGGATAAAAAGAAATTTAAGGTATTCAAAAATGAAGTTGTTCGTAAATCTTCGGGGCAAAACACGACGAATGGAAGAAATGGGCGAATGAAGAAAACTTCATAACGTAGAAGTACACCGACTGTACAACAAACCGGACATCATTAACGTCGTAAAATCACGCCGATTAAGATGGGCAGGTCACGTGGCGCGCATGGGGAAGAATCCAACGGAAAAAGACCACTGGGTAGACCAAGACGTAGATGGAAGGACAATATTAGAAGAGATCTTAAGGAAATAGGCTACGAAGACTGAAAACTGGCGGGATTTAATATTTGCGTCAATGAACTTTTGAGTTCCTAATGCCAATTAATAATAATAATAATAATAATAATAATAATAATAATAATAATAATAATAATAATAATAATAATAATAATAATAACTGTAATACCTGATCTTCTTCGTTTGTTGGATCATCGACTCCAGAATCACCGGTACTAGGATCATTCCTCTCCTCATGATCGGTAAGAATCGGTTCATTATTTGTTATTTCACCTTCAACTATCTCAGATTCTTCAGTTTCTTGTGGTTGTTGTTCTTCCGCCTCATTTTCCATAGTTTCTTCCTTAGTTTCTTCCTCGTCTTTAGCACCAGTAATAACATCGTCGTCGGATGATTTTTCTTCCGTTTCTTCGTTTACTTTAACGTTATCTGATGCTGGTTCGGAAACAGAAGACTCGGGTAGACCCTCGTCACCTTCTATCGGCAAATCATTCTTTTCCGTTTCAATTTTGGTCTCCTAACCGATCAATAATAATCATGTAAGAAAATATAAATATTATTTTATATTATGTAAGAAACATGGAAACATGTATATTCTATAAGCATATTCAGTTATTTACATATTGGGAGTACAAATTAAATCGGTCCGTTTTCAAAAATGGCTCTAAAAACATTAAATTTTTTAATAGTAATAGCTAATTGCCGTGGTTTTAGACAGATTGGACATCTGACGATAATATCCAGTTTGTATTGTTTTAAGTTTCATACAAAACCTTTTTTTGTTACGCTATTGAAAATGTCAGATTTTTTGATAACTAAACAGCATTTGCGGGAAGTTGTAATTTTTTGTTTTATTTGGAAAAAAATTACTGCTGAAGCTCATTGTATGCTTGTCGAAGTTTACGGTGACAATGCTTCAACTGAAAAGTCATGTAGAAAATGGTTTCGACACTTCAAAAGTAGTGATTTCAGCGTTGAAGATAAACCTAGCTCGGGACAGCCAAAAAAATTCGTAGATGATGAATTACAGGCATTACTCGATGAAGATCCGAGTCTAATGCAAGACGAGTTTGCACTTACGTTGGGGGTGACCCAATAAGCAGTGTCTGTACGTTTGAAATCTATGGGCATTACGAGAAAAACGGCCGGAATATAAGGACAGACATGACAAAGTTATTCTTTTGCATGATAATTCTCGGCCTCACATCGCAAAAGTTGTCAAAAAATATTTAGAAACGATCAAATGGGATATCATACCCCACCCGCCGTATTCTCCGAACATTGCTCCTTCTGACTACTGACTGTTTCGACGGATGCAACCCGATTCGACAAGTCACCATTTTATTTTTTTCGAAGATATCGAAAATTGACTTCAAAATTGGATCACCTCAAAAAAACGAGAAGTTTTTCCGAGATAGGATTCGAAAATTGCTTAAGAGGTGGGGAAAAGTTGTAAGCAGTAATGGACAATATTTTGACAAATTTGTAAATTTATTATTTTTTGAAATAAATGCATTTTTTTGAGTTAAAAAACAGACCGAATTAATTTGTACACCTAATATTTATAGAATTTTCTTATTAATTATAAATAAATAATACAATTTAGGATAAAAAAATAAATATCAAATTATAATTCTTAGGAATTAACCGACAAGAGTATATATAGACCGTTTATTTTGAAAGTATGCTTAGGTATTCTCATTGATGCCGACTATAATCGGCGCCTGTAACGAAAGATTTAATTATATTTAATAAGAAAAAAGGTTATTTACTTCCTCTGTAGTCTCGGCTGAACTCTTTGTTGGTGATTCTATGCTTTCGAATGCACTGTCAACGTCGTTATTACTTAAAGATTTCTTTGGACCAGCACGAGTAACCGATTCGGCTGCCTCTAAAATTCTCCAATCCCAATTTTTTGGATAGGATGTACTCGATACTCGTGGAGCTTCTGGTACTACGACTAAATTGGAAAGGTCCACGTCGGATGGACGGTTTTTATAAAAAGCTGCTTCCTTTTGTTTCTAATAAATAAATCGTCAAGATATTATAGGATAAATAAAAGATTAAATATATTAAATGATTTAAATGTCATATATATACTAGAATGCTCCGACCACGCTTTACTGTGGCTTTATTATAAAATGTTGATATAATATAATTCTAAACTATTCAGTAAATTATAACAACACACAAAATAATACCACAATTACAATAGAATACATAAAATAAGAATAAACGAAAAAAATATAAAAAGTAAGGTTAGTTATGTCACATGTAAAGCTGAAAAAAACGTCAAATAATTGAATTGTAATACAGCGCCATCTATCGAAAACTTACAAAACGTAGACTTAGATAACCTTAAATAATAAATCCTGAAATTAGCAATAAGAAATAACAAATAATTGCAATAAAAACTATCCTATACTCTAAGTTGGAAAAAATCACACAAAATAAAAAAAAAATCATTAAGATTAGTTCAATAGTTTCGGAATTATAAATAGACAAACATATTGTGACGCTGAATTTTTATATATAAAGACATATTATCGGGAATGTATAAAAAGCTAAGCATTGCATAGAAAATCTGGCATTTTGGGGAAAGTATGAAAGGATTATTATTCCATTACATTTCTTAAGTATTCTGTAGAATTTCAAAAAAGACAACTCAACAAAGTATAAAATACTTTTTACTAATGACGTTTCTAATATCACATAACATGTCAGTAAAGATGATGAAGATGATTAAACTGATATTTTGTGCAATCTGCTTGAAACTAGGAATATCGTTGAAAATAAAATTGATTTTAAATTCAATCTGGAAATATAGGAAAACAAGAAAAATTGAAATGAAGTTCTGACAAGAAATTTTCTTCTGATTCCTTGGAAGCTACTGTGTGAGTTTCTATTCTTGAAATTGACAAGGAACAAAGTGATTCGTCCTATCTATTGACAATTGTTATGAATGTGACAAAAAATGGTTTGTACTGATTTGAAATTACTGAAAGAATTTTAAAATAACTGTTAACGAGATCACAAATCACTTTATACCCAAAGAATTTACTTAGTAATTGAAGATATTCCTGACCCTGAAATGCCTCTCTCTAGTAAGCTGCTATTAATAAGTCCACAGAAAAAAAAACAAAGGATTTGTCAAGTATATATGAAAAACCAAATGTCAACACACGTAGTACTTTTGTGTGAAAAGAACAAGTGCAATGCATAACTGCCATTTACTGTCTTCCTTGTTGAAAACATGTAAATTCATATTTTATTTTTTCTTATTTTCCTCAATAAAAATATCATATTATATTTTTTTTTCATACATTTCTTTTCAATAAAAATCTTTTCATAATTCTCTTTTAATACTTTGCCACAATAGCATTTGTCATCTTGTGTAAAACCTAAGTATTACATACAATGTTTAGGTATTTTCTTCTTCTTCTTTTTATTTCTTAACCTTTTTTTACTCATTCCTAAAAATAAGCCTTTCCTAAATGCTTTCAATTACGTTTACTCATAACTTTTTGATGCTAGTGAATTCAAGCTGCTTGCTTAATGTCATCCATCCATCTTACAATTACTTATGGTCTACTTCTGCTTCTCTTAGTTTCTCTTGAGAGCCAATATAAAATTTTTGTAAACCATTGTTCATTTTTCTGCTTCACAACATGTCCTGCCCATTGATATTTTAATACATCTTATTCTTTCGATTATATTTGTAACCTTTGTTCTCTTTCAGACATTTTTTTTTTAATTTTATCTCTCAGGGAAACCTTTAGCATAGCTTGTTCCATAAATTTCTGCATTATTCTCAATTTATTAGCATTCTTTGTTGTTAGGACTACTATCTCCAACCTGTAAGTGATGATCGATGTCAAAGACCTTTCTTTTTAAATTTATGGGAATTGTGTTGTATTTCAGTATTGGTGATAGTTCACCAGAGGCAACTTAGGAAAATTTTATCCGTTTAGTGATCTCTTGGGAATGATAGTTTTTTTGGAGTGTTATAATATGTTATACATAATTGTATAGACATTTTCTATCTTATGATTGCCTATTATTCGTATATTTTGTCGGTTTATTTGTTTTGTTTTTAACAAGTTCATTTACAGTCCTCGCTTTTTCATTCAGTTCTTGTAACATTCTTTGAATCTCATTCTGTTCACCGATATCAGAACAATGTTATTCTCAAATCTAACATAAGATGGTTTAAATTGTCCCATTGATTTTGATACATTTATCTTCCTACCTTTTTATCTTCTCATAAGAGATCTTTGAAAATCTTTTCTAGTGCCAAAGTAAAAAATTTGGATGACATTGTATCTCCTTGATATTTTTGGTATTTGTGATCTCAACTAACTTCACATGTAAATAAATATTTTGATATAATGTTTCCAACTACTGCAATGTATCTAGAATTGATTCGAACACTATTTATAGACTTTAATATGTGCCAGATCTCAATTGAGTGCTTTCAATCTTAATGCATCATGTCAATATGATCTCAAATGCTTTCTGAAAGTTTAATGAAAGCATAGTATATTGATATTTTATACTCCGAAATTTTATCAATAAAAGTTTTCATTACTCGTATATGATCGATTGTACTAAACCTTCTTCGAAATCTACCTTGTTCCACAGTTTGATAGAAGTCAAATTTAAATATTGGTCGATTTGTGATAATTTTAATAAAAAATTTGTACAGGTGGGCAGCAGATTTATAGATCTATAATTTTGTATATGATACTTGCAAAACCTTTTTTAAAATTCACAATTACTTCAACATTTTGTCAAGTGTATGATATTTTTTTTTTTCTTGCATATATTTATTGAAGAAGATTATCAAGAATTTCTCCAAAGCATGATCTTCAAATTTCAGCATTTCTATAGTAATTCTATCTTCTTCTTCTGATCACTTATCAATCGTCATATTTTCTAGGGATTTTCTGATGCCTAAGTATTAGTATTATACAATATTAAAATATAAGTGTGGAATATTTAATACTTTGCCCCAAAAATGCCAGGTATTTTATACAGTGTCTATTTTTATTTATATATTACCGGTATAACATATATATATTTTGAATACATAAATATACTAACATTGTCTAATTTACTTTCGTCAGCTCCATATTCAGTTAAAAGATTGTACATGGTACCATCGTCCTTCAAAGCAGCCGCGTAATGTAACGGTGTTTTACCTTCGTTGTCTTGAGCCGTTACTACCGAAGGATACCTTTCAAGAATTTCACGTGCAACTTCCAAATAACCCAATCCGGCAGCCTGATAGATTACATACAAATTTCATCATTTGTGAGAACCACAAAAATTCTATTGTAATACGTAAACGTTTGATTAGTATACCACAGTGGTACTCAACCTGTAGCCCATTAAATCGTAATGTGTAACCCAGAATAAAAAAGTTAAATCAAACAAAAACATTTCAATTTATTCAGATAAAAAATAAATACTTTAGTAATAGTGATTGGAGTCAAAGCAGATACGGATTATACATATTTAATCACACCTTCCCCCCTCATCCACCCATTGCAACAGATATTCGCTCATTCAGTGTCAATCATTGAAAGTGAAATATTTTTATAGGTTATAAAATTTCCCTGGAATTGTTAATGGCAGAACATATACCAAAAATCACAAATCTTATAAATTAAATCTTATTACATAGATGTTTTTATTCTCCATTGATTTATTATTTTAAAATTGAAACAAAAATAAAATTGTGAATAAGCTTTTTGAAGTGAAACTTTTTTTCGGGAGGGTACAGAAAATTGTTAAACGACAAAAAAAATGAAAGGTGAAACGGGGAAATATCGATCGAGCAAGACTTGTGGCAGAGGGAAAAACTTAAAAGTTTCGCTTCAGTCGCGTGTGAATTCCACGTGTTATTGCTTTTTATTTTACTCATCGTTTCGTAAATTGCCTTTATTAAATAGTAAATGAAGTTAGGTTTACCCGTTTTACGTAACACTGTACCGTGAAAAATCTGACACCTGTCTGTGGCCCAATGTTGTGGCCCGCTTAACTCTTTCCATTCCAAATTATATTTTAATTTTGTTATCCCAACGATTTTATATTATTTGAAATTTACTTTAACTAAAAAATATAAGGCAATTTTTAAATAAGAAAAAGGAAGAAGAAACAAATAATTTAAATAAATATCTATTTGTATTTTATAATTTCCAAGTGCATGGCCCTCCTTAGATAAAAACTGATGTAATGCAAGGTAAGGAACCGTATGTGGGTGTTAAAATACAGAAATTCGTACCGCCTCCCTTCATCACCACCACCCCTACCTCTACTACTACCACTACCCCTGACCATAACGTAAATTAAGATATAAGTAATTTTTACATTAGTTGGTAAACAATTGCGTTATTGCAGACAAACAATCGGACAGCTACCTTTAGAAAATGTTTTCCCTGTCACGGAAAAAATAAATGAAAGAAACATATGAGGCCCATGAAAAAAAGGTTGAGTACCACTGGTCTAGTAATTATTTGAAATTCAATAAAGTACCTTATGCAAAACATTTAAACCGTTTGCATCCTTGCTACACAAAATAATAGGCGAGACTGGATCTTCCAATTTTTTTTTCAGACCCTCCAAATCATTTTTCACCGTTGCTGCGTGTATATCTTTCACAGTACCCTAAATAAAATTCTTTTGTCACGTTAAAACTTATTTATTTATTTATTTATTTATTTAAAAAAAATTATATATATACTGTGACTGACGAAAGTATCTGAACACTTGTAATAAAATATTTTATTAATTATAATAAGAATAATCAGAACATCAAGAAAGATGTACATCCAGAATGGTGTGAAGTGTTCAAATACTTTCGTGAAGTCACATAAAGTTGTCACCGCGAATGGAAGGATTGCGCTCAGGGACGGGAACAATGGCGGGATTTGGTATTTGCGGTAATGAACTTTCGAGTTCCTAATGCCAATTAATAATAATATTCCTTTATATATACTAGGTGCTCCGGCCATGTGTTACTGTAGTTTTGTTTTAATACATTGATTTAATGTAATGCTAAACTATTCAATACAGTTAAATTAATATACGGAAAAAAGTAAGGTTATGTCGTAAATAAATCTGAAAAAAGAACGTGTGACGTGAAATAATTTGAAATAATTTAATTGTAACAAAACGTCATCTATTGAAAACTAACAGAATCAAGAGACTTAGATAACCTTTAAATAATAAATCCTTAAATTAGCTATAAAAAAAAACAATCACGATAAAAACTATCCTATATTCTAAATTGGGAAAAATTACACAAAATAAAAAAAATCTCATTAAGATCGATTCAGTAATTTCGGAATTATAAGTAGACAAACATATTGTGACGCTGGACTTTTATATCCCCTCAGAACATATGTCTCCCATACCACAGTCGTTACTATGATGAGAGGAAATCTCACGCCTATTGCGCATGTGCCAAGAGCGAAATTTAAATTCTACAAAAATAATTTTAGTTTATATATTAAATACAATACAATATCAAATATTATTTTTTTTTGAATAATATATATTAAGTATTAATATTATTAAATTAAAAATTATCTAATTTCTGACGAGGACGTAATAAATATATCATTATCATTTAAAAATACTGGTACACTTGTAAACACAACTTTTAAAATACTAGGTATTCGTATATCTATATATATATATATATATATATATATATTCAAGATGGCGACTAGAAACTACAAAGGCAGCCGAAATAAAACGAAAACATCCGAATAGAGGTTTTTTTGTGCCTGACTTTACTTACGCGATGAGAGAAACTCTCACAGTTGATAAATAAATAATTTTTTTTCTTTATTTTTCAAGTTTAAACAAAAATTTTGTTTCACTATCCTGTAAAACATTAAATTTTAGGAAGGTAAAAACATTTTCAAGGGGTCATTCCATTTGAAATTAGAAAGAAAAAAAAAAGTTTTAAGAACAGTATGAGAGAATCTCTCTACACGATAGTACTGAAGTGATATATAAAAAAGGTATATAAAGAATACTTACCATTATGAAAGGTACTGCTTCCAAAAACTTTTTCACCCTCGGATTGTTGCTGGTCTCGCATCTTAATTTACCACCGTGACCTTCCCAAAGTACTTGCTGCAATTTTTTGATATCTCGATTGTGTATCCATATTCTTATATTGGAAGGTTTGAAGTCAAAGCCTATACGAAAAAAGAAGATAATAAAATAAATATATAATACATATTTCGACAATGTCACGAGTTATGATGATTTTTAACATTTTTATTTCTATATGTCATTTCTATTTACTCATTGTCAATCAACGTTCTAGTCATTTTTTTTTTCTTTAGACCCACGTTAGATCGATAAAGTATGAAATATGAATGGTGGGATTCCTCGTATATCGACGAAATAAATATTTCTTAACTTGTACGTGGTTTTTTTAAATCTTTACAAAATCAAACGTAAACTTGCATCAAGGTCGATGGATAATTTTTTTTTTCAAAAACTATGTTAAAAGTAAATTTGCATGATAGTTTATCCAGAATTGATCGATAATAATAATTTTTCGAAAAATAAAATTGATCCTGTAAATTAATGGTTCCCAAAGTAGGTGATTTTGAGGTCCAGAGGGGCGATGACAACCACAGGTGCACTTTGGGGGTGGGGGAAATGAACTACTAAAAAGGAAAAAATGCCAGCGGAGGCTGACCCGTGCTGCTATACTATGCTACACAATAATGTTGTTATATCGATACTGTTTCAAACTGTATCAATAATAATAAAATATTAGAAAGAAATTCTCTTATTAACACATTCGTGACTGCTGACGTGAATTCACGTCTTTTCAAGTTCTATTCCTGGTTGCCGTTGACGTGATTCACGTCATATTTTACATTTTAAAAATTTAATAAAAATACATTTATATATTATATATTATATAAATTTAAATTATTTTATAATTATTATTATTTTTTATTATTATTTTATTACTTTATTAGTATTTTATATATATAGATAGAGATAAAATTTATATTTAATTACTTAAATATAATAATTAAATATAATATATTATTATATTATTATATTTTATTATTTAAATATAAATTTAAATAATTTAAACTTATATTTATATATTTACTAGGGGTGCCCCGGCCACGCGTTGCTGTGGCTAATAAATATATAGATAGATCTGAATCTACGCACATAACATTTGTCTTCTTTTTCTCTTTTTTCTTAATATCGAACCAACTGCGCATGAGCGGTAACATAAGATCACCACTTACTTCTCATCATATAATTTTACATTGTCTGAATATAGGCACATAAAATTTGTCTTTTTTTTCTCTTTTTTCTTAATATCCTTTTAAAGGAAAAATAATTATGATAGGTCACCTTTATGACTCAGGGGTATAAGAAATATACGAAAAACTATTCTCATACCTACCGAATATACACAAAAAATTTCATATAAGTCGATCAAGTCGTTTCGGAGAATAAGAATAACAAACACTGTGACAGGGGAATTTTATAGAGATAAGATATATCTTCTTCTTCTAAATATATATAAATTACGTGTCACGTTGTTTGTCTCCAATGGACTCGTAAACTACTGAACCGATTTTAATAAAAATTTTGGACACTGTGTGCAGTTTTATCCAACTTAAAAGATAGGATAGTTTATATCTCAATTTATAATCGCAATATTATTTTATTGTAAATTATTGATTTATTAACAAAGAATCATGATTATCTCTGTTAGTTCGATAAGATTTTAACAGATGGCGGTATAATGTAATTCGTTGACTTAAAGACGTGTGTATCGGACTGATTGTGAGCCACAGCAACGCGTGGCGGGGCACCCCTATAGAATATATGTAAAGATTATTGTTTTTTCAAAATTTTATTATTTTTGCCATTACTTAGTATAAGAAACGGAAAAAATATGCCGGCCACGAATGTGTTAAGACTTTTTTGTTTCTTATCTCCTCGCCTGATGGGCTTGGTGGGCAATTAAAGCGGCTTAGGGGGGCTAGGGGTTTGAAGCACGGTTCAGGGGGGCAGACGGGTGATCGATGCGGCTGTAAAAAGAAGTCATCAAGATCGTCAGAAAATTTCCAAGGGGAAAAGAGGCGTTGGGGCGTTTTGTCAAGAAAGGGGACAAGGGGGCGATAGAACAATAAAGTTTGAGAACCACTGCTATAAATCAAGCGTCAAAACAATTATTTAACGAATAATAAAAGAAAATTCTTGGAAATAACAAAATAAAGTACAATGTAAGATAATAAAACGAAAATTCTGAAAATAACATTATATAAATATAAACGAAGAAAACCAAACGAAATCTACTTGGAAATGTCGAGTGAGTACTGACCTCCTTTTTACACAATAGACACGTGGACATATTCAGTTAAGTATTTATGAACGTTAGTACGTGCAATGTTTCCAGTTGCGTGCTTTGCAAACTCGTTAATTATTTAAGTAAGTAGAAAATACACCAAAAATGTTTAACGGAAATAATATTAAGAGATTGATGTGTGAAGTCATATGAACGACTTATTGATTATTTCTTTAACAACAAGGGGTTTGGGGAGTTAAAAGGAAGGGTGTGGTAAATAGAGTTGGTAAAAAGAGATGGTAAATAAGTATCATAACCAATCTATTCAAATATAGGCTAACGATTTTTAGAAATCGATTAATATCATTTCATTTTTTCATTCTATTTATAAATATCGACATATGTATTATAGGTTACCGTGAAAGATCGAAATTGAAGAATATCGAGTTTCACGTGGTCGTTGTCAACAAATACGTCGGTGAAAGATCGAATTTTTGGGTTTATTTTTATACATTAATATTTCGGACATACACCAAGTGACCATGTGAATTTTAACATTCTCCAATTTCGATCTTTCACTGTAACATATACAGGGTATTCCATATAACTCTTTTCACGATTTCTCAAGTACTTGTGATAAGCTCACAAAAAAATACTTAAAACAAAAATTGATCTTTTTTTGATTGACTATACATTGCAATAAGAAAAAGTTTAAACAAAATTTTTTTTTAATGTTTTTTAAGGTTACCATTAAATTGGTTTTAAAATTGCACATTATATTTTTGATTTTACAGTATTATAGCCCGTATTAATATGAATTCAACGAACTAGTATATCATGACCATTGGATTACCTTGAAAGTAAAGAAATGAATAGAAATGGACGATAATAACTTGTATTTATTATAAAAAGATTCAAAATTACATTAAATTCAGGAACATTGACTAATGTTGTATTACTAAAAACTTAACTACGAACTGTTGATTATTCACAATAAAGAAAAAAATTGCTATTAACACTTTACAGTCCGTATTTTTTCATCAAAATTTTTTCAGTTGGTGTTGGTAAGACTAATTTCAAGGTCATCCAAAAGTAATGAAATACAGTTCAATGATCTCGTATTAATACAGGCTGTAATACTGTAAGGTCAAAAATATAGGGTGCAATTTAAAAAAATAAAGCTAACTTTAAAAAACATTAAAAATAAAACATCTTCAAAAATTGTTGTTTATTACAATAAATAAAATTGCAATTAATTCTATATAAAAAATTGTAATTTGTATTGTCAATTGTAATAAAAAAATTGCAATAAAAAAAGTGATTAAAAAATGCAATTTTTTGATTGCAATCAAAAACAGATTAACTTTTGTTTAAAGTATTTTTTTGTCAGGTTATCAAAAGTACTTGAAAAATCGTGAAAAGAGTTATATGGGACACCTTGTATATTATTAACGCAATATGCTTGTCACACAGACACACACACTCTTGAATTTTGTTCAATTAAGTTCTATCTATTAATGTTTATATTTCGTACGTCGATGTGCACGAATAGCGTGTTCGATACTGATCTAATAAATATTTCAAGAAACAGGGCAGTGCACGATCCCAGTGCATATAGTTCACTGATATATAATGGTAACTTTACAGAAGTGCCACTCATTCTTTTTACTTATCATAAGAAATAAATTATCCGTGTAAATATACAGTAAGTTTCTGAGGAATATATTCGTATCCTCACTATAATTTTAAAACAATTAATATAATATATTTATAATATATTACAACAACAAAATTAATAATATAACAATATAAATTATTATATTATCATATTATTAACATAATAATGTAATTATATTATTACATTCAATTCAAGAACATTGACTAATGTTGTATTACTAGAAACTTAACTACGATAATAACTATAATAATATATATATATAATATTTATTTTATAATATTATATATAATATATTAAATGTAATAATATTTATAATTTATTATAACATAATAATATATTATAATTTTAATACAATAATATTTATATTTATTAATATATAATATAATATATATATATATATATATATATATATATCATATAATATTTAACAAAATTAAATAATAAATTATAAATATTAATA